ATAACACCGTCCAGGAAGAATTCACTTTATAACAGAGTGTAAATTAAGTCGTCACTTGCTTCGAAATTCTATTTACCTTAATACATTAGAAAGTTTTGATTGGTCGCTTCAAAGCAACCTGTGTTGCACAAGGGATTAATATTCTTCGATAAAACTTCGTCATTAGCCAAGAATTTCGAAATTAATTTTAATGATAATTAGAAGGAATCAAAGATTCGAGAGATTAGATTATTAAATTTGTTGTACTTTAGAACAACTTATATATGGCTGATGATTATTGGCATTAATATTACGATTATGAAGAACAGTAACAAAATCTTATTTTTAAATGATTTTGTTTCAATATGGCTTTCTTTTGATTGTGAAATGAGAGGATATTTATATTTTTGAATTATATCTCCTCTAACCTTATTTTGAGGATAAAATAACCATCTTAATGATGGCTATAACATCTAGGAATTGTGAAGGTAAGAAGAAAATTTTAATAATAATTCTTGCTTTCGATGTAATAGTTGTTATATTTAAAATAATATAATTTAAAAGTAATCGAAACGCGAAAATACAATTACAAAGTAATATTAGACGTGAAATTAGATTTTTACGATCGATTTATCCGAGTTAATCAATCAAAATCTGCCTTCTTTCACAAAACATTTTGTGAAACATACATAATATCTCGAGATAGTATATCATATCCAATTTACTTTGCCATTCATTTTAAAATATCAACGCTATCTGTCTTTTGAAATCCTTTTCTTAAAAATCCAAGATCCAATCTATATCCCCCCATTTCACAGACCTACTAGATACTCTTTATCATTACCGAGACATCGAATGGACATAAAATCAATGTACTCCAAATGGAGAAGAGTAGGATAAATCGTTTGAAAGGATCTGCAAGAAAATCTGCAACCTAATTAATCCAGCGCAAAGTACTTCTTTTTACACAATCGACGACATCTCCTCGAGAAAGTATCTCCTCGAAGATTTTCTCCTCGATTGGCCAGAACGAAGAGGCGAATCGAACAAAAAGCGAATCGAAAAGAGCGACGACACAATCGAATTCCAGGCTGGTTCGAGAGGAGGAAAAGGGTGATGAAGTGAAAGGGGATAAAAAATTATGTGACGAATTGGGCGAGGAGAGGAAGGAAATCCTTATTGCCGTTCGAAATCAATTCTTGAGAAACAATAAAATAGCTATAAAACGGAAAGTGGAATGATATCGACACGATAACATGATTTAGGGGGTCGATAAAAATAATGAGCGGAACGGAATAGGATGGGAGTTTGCTTAAGTTCGTAAGTTAACCACGAGGATGGAGTATAAACAATTAAATGGATGCTCTTGCACGATTTTATGGATTTTGTCAATGAAAAAATTATAAATTTATAAAATAAATATAAAAATGGAAATTTGATTGTTAATTATTAATTAAATTTTTAGTATAAACACGAAGGAATTATTATAATTGACTGTTTATTAAATAACTGTTAGTTCTAAATTATTAATCTTTCCTTTAATTGTTCTTTTTTAAATTGAACTGAATTTTGTAACTAAAAATATACTTGTATATAACTTTATTTTTAGTATCGTAGGATGTCGAAGCTGAATGCGTACAATGATTGCACGTGTGTATGTATTTATGCATTGACTTAACAATTATTTAAGATATTATGTGAGAGAAGAAATATGTAGAAAAAAATTTAAAAAAGACATCGATAGTCTTTAATAAAAAAACATTCATAACAAGGAATAATTTGTAAAAAGTATGTCTACGGTGTGGCCCAATCATTATATGAAATCATTATATTATAAGAATGCCTTCTCAAAATGTACGTAAGTGCATAATATGTCGTGAAAATTTGACTCTACATAGCACGAAAGACAAAAAGTGAACTCATCAAATAAACGAGATACAATTGCTTTTGGAGAAGGACAGAGAGATTAAAATAAAACGAGACAAAAACTCATAGAATATGACACGAAACTCATAGAAACTCGTGAAAGTCGGATAGAGCATAGAGTGTGAATAAATTCGCGTGTAGTAGGCAAAGAAGGCAAAACGTCACCATCCCTGGGCCTTTCGTTTCCATTTCTTATTCGCAGCAGCAACGTCCATGCTTTTCATCTCGATCCAGCTGCAGAAAGACGTAAGAGTGCATCGTTCCACTCTTCTTCTCTCTCTCTCTCTTTTTCTCGATTTTCTCGAATCCTCTTTGCCGCGCACGGTTGCCAGCCGCCTTTTATCTTACTTTCCATCCCCTTGGTGGCCGCCAACCACCTCCTGTTTCCCGTCCAACATCCCCTTTCGCACCCGAGGGAGGCACGAAGCTGCCACGCGGGAAAGGAAACGTGAAAAGGATGGCTGGAGCCGGTTTGAATCGGCTCTGATCCACGTGTTCTTCTTCTGTTTCCCTTCGATTCAACGTTCAATAGCATGCGGGATCAATTTCGCCGATCTTATTTGATAGATCATTGAGGAATCGTTGAGGGATGGATTGTTCCTCCCCGTAGGGAAACGAGGAAATTTGTTGGTCATGTCTGAGTGGAATGGAATTGTAGGCATTATCCTGCCTTAAATCGATATCTTCCTCTCTGATTTCCTTTTTTCGCGAGTTGATTTATGGTGCGGATGTATTATTGTATAGAAGATTGCAACTCGCTTCCTTTTCTTTTTTTTTTTTTTTTTTTTTTTTACTTGATTTTTGTAAATGAAATGATGAAAATTGAAAGTTTTGATAATTTATTCGACGTGATTGTGCGATTAAGGAGTGAATAAAAATTTTTATCAATTAAACATCTTGCTAATTAACGTGAATATAAGAAGGATTCAGAAATCAATCAAGTTTAACTTATTCTTCAAAAGTGATTTACGTTGTTCAAAAATCTCGTTCAAAATTTTAATTGACAGATCAATTCTGTCGTTGTTAAAAATTATGATAGGAATAATTAGCTAATCGATTTATCAACTGATAGTTTAAATAATAAAGAACTAAGTGATTTTCAAATAATCTGATTCACATTGACTGACTTTTGTATATATATGCTTGCGATCTTTTACGTGTCCAATTTATAATTAAAAAGTATAATTTTAAAACAATAAAATAATTCAATTTTCAAATAGAATTTTGGAATATCCATCACATCGGTTTATTTCCGTTTCTTCAATCACTTCGCAAGTCGCATCTTTCTTCATTTAAGCAAAACTTGTATCAATTTAAAAAAATGATTTATAAATTAATATCTATCAAAGTTAATTTCAAAATTACATTTCCTTTTCATTTATCGAAATCTCAAATAGGATATGGAATAATCTCACTCGAAGTGCTAAGGATAATCCAGTTTACATTCTTCGTTGAACAAGGGAACAAGGAGTCGAACGCACCTTTCATTTTCCCACATTGTCGATACAATAGGCGTTCTTTAAGTAGAAACAGCAAGGAAACCACTCGATAGGAAAAGAATTGACACTGACAACCGCAGCTGCGTTTCCGCTTCATCGGTCTGACGAATGCGAACGTAAATGAAAAATCGATTCTATCAATCGACAACATTTCTTCTTTTTTCTTTTTTTTTTTTTTTTTTGTCTATCTATATTACAAGAAGAAATTTCAAATCGAGTGCATCGACCGATGATTCTATTAAAATGGAAATGATATTCTGCTAGCGTTGCCACGATTCTACGTTGCGCGTATGCACTCATATTTTAACAAAATTGAAATTTCAATTCGACGTGGCAATCGAATCTTCTTGATAGTAGTCGTATGAAATTACGCGTAACTGATTATGAATCGAGATACGTACGAAAGATAAATGTTGATTATTTCTCAATATGAGCGAGGAGGTATCGTGGAAAAAATTTCGGAAATTTTTTGAAATTAAATAGTAAGGAAAAAGAAAAAGAGTATGCAAGTTCGAACAATTAAAAGTAAAACACATCGATGATTTGTTGTATAAATTATTATATACCCACTTTTGAAGTTTGTGTTTTTATATGCAACAAATAATTTTTAAATTGTCTGTGCTATACACGTTATATTTTATAAAATGAACGATAATTTTATTATATATCCCTGAATAAATTTCTAGTATTAAATAATTAAAGTTAACCAAAAGTTGATGTTCTTGAAAAGATTAAGATATACTTAATTTTGATTGTTTTCTATTTTCTAGATTTGCATTTGATTTGTAATAATTAATGATGACTAATTATTCATCTTAATGTATACAATAGAATATATGCAATAGAACAATAGAAAAGAAATCAAAAATGAAATCTCTGAAGTACAACAACAAAGTATACCTTAATATCTTTCGATTTCTTCTGAAATATTTTATATGTATGCATAATTATTATTATTATATAATTAACTAGTATAATTATTATTACTAGAATAAAAGGATTAGACAGTCTTGAATACTGTATATTGAAAGAGTTAAATATATTCTAAAAATATATTCGTTGCATGAATGAAGAAAAAGAATTACTCCTAAAACAGAATACAAAAGTGCACGAATGTAATTAATAGTAATTGACTTATTTCAACGCTTTTTCCCCATAGCCTATCAATTCGGTGATTCGTTCTTTAACATCACTTCGATGGAAATGAGAATAGCGAGAAACCGACAGGCGAGTATTAGTTGCCGTATATTGATTTCCTGTAAGCGAACCGGTGTCACGAAAAAGTGAAAAAAAGAAGAAGGTAGTACCAGCAGCGCATTTTAAATTTCTCATTTTTTATCACGAACTCATTACTGGCCGATTCGTTCCTTGTGTCAAATTGTTTCTCAACCATTGGAAATTATTGTAATAATTCAAAGATCGTTATTCGATTTTTATACGTATTACTATTTCGTTTATGTTTTGAAAGATAGTATTGCACGAAACTTTGAGATCTTTTTTTTAACTTCTACTTGCGAAAAATTTGGCATAATCTTGTATATTAAAAAGACTTAAGCTTCCTTTGTGATCTTTGTAAATATGTAATTAATGACTTACCAACTTGAGCCACGCGTTCGTCGTTAATATTTGATTCTTCTCATCCTGGAAAAAAGAATATTTTTATTAGTTTTATTTCCATGTTTAAATTAACTTAACTGTTTTATAAAATTAAAAGTTGTTTACTTTGATAATTAATATTATTATCGTCTGATAATAATTTTAATTATTGTCAAATACAGTATATTATATTAAAATTGCGACATATTGATATATTATTAAAATTATTATTTAATTGAAATATAAAATATTTGTATAATTTCTTTGCACTTTTAATAACAAATTCAATATGATACTTTGATAACAATCTAAATCATACTACAAAAAGAATTAAAAATATTTCTATTTTAATTATGATACATTTTTCAAATTCACATATTCATTTTCTCAAACAAAAAGATAAATATACAAATATCTAATCAGATAGAAATCATTCGTTACACAATTAGGTGAAAGAGAAGTTTATAAGATATAGGATCAATGATCAAACGCGAGAATGAAAGGAAAAAGTAGAATTCTATAAATAGCGAATGGTAAAATTTACGCCAAAAAGTAGAGAGCCAATAACCACAAATTGCTGTTGCAATCGTTCGTTTACCAAGTGCTCTAAAGAGAACCGCACTCCACCACAGGCTCATCAGAACTTCAAAGTGATTTATAAAACGGATGCACTTTAACGATAGTGTCAACGAACAAACCACTTGGTAAACGATCGTGTCCAACCAATTAATCGTTGACCAATACTACTTAGCACCATACCTTTTATAATTGTAAGGGAAATTTTTCTTATATTCGACTTTTCTTTGAATTAACTGATGAAAAAGCTATTTTGCGAGTATGCTTTTTACGATACACGTATAATCCAACGAATTACAAATATTTCATACAGAAATATATATGATGAAAGTATTTTATAAAAATTGTAAATGTTTTGTGAAAAAAATATAAGTAAATAATGAATACATGTAAATGTTTAATAAGTGATTTTACATTTTCAAGATAAATAATTGTAACAGATAATTAATATTATTATTAAGTGTCTTTTAAAAAATTTAATTAAAATTTAATTACACTTATATTACTCTCTCAAATAATAAAATTCTTCAATTTTTCACGATTCTGAATAATTTTCTTTTCCAAAAATTCAAAGATAACTCGTAAGAACTAACTTAAGTTTAACTTGATTAATTTTTTTCTAATCACTATACCGTTAAAATAGCATATACGTGGAATACACGTTCATATAAAGGATCCTAAAAAATACACAGTGAAAACTATATCAAATGTTTAAAAAAAGTAATGAATTATATAATAAAATAAGCATAATAAAATTTAACTAACATTGAAGAATAAATAATATTAGTACAATATTTTTCTTGAATTTTTCCTTTCTATCATTTCATCGATATATCCATCTTCAATATCGTCATTAACTAAAACTTAAAATTAAAGTTCTCTGTCTTTATTAAATAATATCCTATAAAAGCTTCAAGAGTTTCAAAATTATTGTCACGAACGAAATAAATTTCAAAGGCGTATCTCGTTTAATAGCGGAATGAAAGTATATTTGCATGTCAATGGTGCATCCTCAGGTTGCATAGGATGTATAGGATGCGAGAAAAGCGCAACAAGTATGAAACGATTTAAGTTTAACGATTCGTGACAAAAATGGTCTGTTAATCTTGTGAAACTTGGCTTGAACGTGGTGATAGTAAGGAAGTGATAAAAAATGCAATTAAGGGATAACCTGGACGCTAAGTGAACTTATTATTTCATTTTTAAACAGTACGCGGATGTGGCCCGTCCACACGATCCTCATCATTTTTCGCTTGGAAGTGAGATGAAATAAAAAGTTGGTTTTAATACTGCTTAAAACGAAATTAAACTGATTACAAATTTTCCAATAGTCATAAACTTTTCTAATACCTGAATATCGTTGTTACGGAATGGAAAAATGCTTATATTAAAAAGTATTTTTTAAAAGTGAAATATAGATATGTGAAAAACAATTGAAAAGTTTGTATCGAAAATAATTCTATTTTATTATCTTTTTATGGGAAAAAAAACACGCTTAATTATTATTTAGCAAATTTAAATTTTCTAAAAGGATTGTATTAGATCTTCAAGATGCAAAATCATAAATAGAGAGTAAAAATAAAAAAGAAAATGATAAAACAAAAATTTTTGATAAATTTTTTGAATGACGAAGACATTGCGTTAAAATCTGAAAGTATCCACAAATGATTTATTAAAATATATATCCCTGAAACTTCTCTTCCTTCGATAATGATATTTCCCAAAGAACACTTCTATGCACAGATCTTACTAACAGTGTAACGTTTAGATTGTTTAGATATTTCCATGATTAGCGGATTCGTTAGCGTATTTGGTAACCTTGGTTCACGCTAAATACTTGTCTTCGCTTCAAAGTGAAATCGAATTAACGCCTGATTTCCACTTCAAAGTGGAATCAGATCCAAGGTCGATTTTCCGTTCGGCTCAAAGCGAAATTAGATCGATCGACGGTGCGTAAAATTTTCCGGTCAAGAAGCACACACGTGACCGAGACATGCTACGAAATCAAAATTTTCTGCGTGTCTCACGAACAATTTTAAAATTTTATTTGTATTATAATTTAACAAAAATAAGTCGAATAATGAAATATGAAGTATTCGTTTGGAAAGTTACAACGAAATCGTCACATAATGTAAAATATTAGATCAATCTTTAAGTGCATAACGTTTCAATATGCCTAAGTATAAAAAAAAATGGATATTTTTTGGAAAGATCGTCGAGAAATTGAATGAAGAAGAGATAATTATTTTTATTTAATATATTGCTTGTGAATAGTATTGATTTATGCCAATTTATATTAAATTTTAGATTTAATGTTAAATTATAATTGCCATTTGTTTCACGTTTTTTAATATGCGTTTTGCACGTTAACGCAAAAATATAAAACTATTACAATCATAATTTAATAGCATCTTTTAATAATTTGATTAAATATATATGCTATCTACGTGTGTATGATAATATATGTAAAGTAATTTTGAAACAAATCCGCAATGAATATTTATACAAACACTTAAGGATACATTATTCATAATTTTAAATTTATCAAGATTACGACAACAAGAGAGGAATTAAAAGAATTTATTAAAAAATTAAAAAATCATTAACATATTTCATTATTACATATTGCATAAAAATATAAAATTAGATGATTGTAATAAAAGAATTTATTAAAATATTATTAATTTTGAACGTACATGCTACATTTATAAATTATTGCATTTAAACTCGATGATAATTGATCGAATGCAAAATTGTTAAATACTGATATAGTCGCGATATAATAATTGAAAAGCGAAAACAGAACGATTCGACTACAAATAAATAACTTTATAATAATTTGTAATATTTCAAATTTACTCAACTACAATTTTTCTTGATAAATCTTCTCTCTACAAACAAGAAATTTTTCTGGCAAATCAAATGAATTCTACAAACGAACAAAACTCAAATGTAATACACGAGTAAATTTCTCATAATTTTTTTGAACGAAGAAAAAATTCGATTTCTCGTACGTGCTACGCGTTCGACTTGAAAAATATATTCACATACCTCACACCCTAATTAGCACGTGCAATAAATTTCAGCATGCACGAAACGCTAATACATATCCATTTTATTACGAAAATAATTCCGCGCTTGACACGGTCATGATTAATCGTTGTTTAATATGTTTCGTGGCGGAAGAGAGCGGCAGATTATCGGAAATCAATAAGCGATCAAATTATCGAATCAATCATAGTGAAACAAACCACGCTAGAGACGTCCATGCTAATCGAACCGGTTATTAGATTATTAGAACTCTTCTCTAACTGTTCTTAACTGAGAATTACGAGAAGAATTGATTCGCTTTATTATTTCCAATCCTGTAATCGTGAAGTTCATTCCATTTTATTATTTTTATTGCTGTAACGATCTTCGTTTCAATGGCTAACAATGTTTGCAATTATCATAGGATCTAAAATGAATTTATCCTATTATCTATGATCGAATCGAATCGAATTGTTTCCAAATGTCTGTGTGTAATGTATGATAGCAAAAATTAATATATTTTATGTTTACAATAACTCTTATTGCGATAAATCATTTAATTTGGCAATACTATTCTCTACAATAATTTTAAAGATACATATATTCTACTGAAAATTATTAAAATTAAGAAACTAAGGAAATTATATTAGAAAGTAATTTTTCATTAAAGATTTAAATGTTTTGCAACATCTGGATTTCTCCTCTTTCTCGACCATTCGATTCATTCTGAATCTTCTTTTAAATGGAGATTTTTATAACGATGAATGTAAAAAAGTTTTCGATATTTCCATTCTTTTCCAATTCCGAATAAAAACTTTAAAATCAATCGAAAGAATAAAACTTAAAAAACCTGTTCCTTCTCTTTACTTATTGGACATAGTTCGCTACTTAGCTGAAATATTAATTTAAAGGCAAATTAATTAACAGACAATTTTCAGAGAGTTGCTTTTTAGCAACCGTACCACGAACTACAAGGAACGTTTGTTTACACATCACTCGAGTGACTGTTTAACCGAAACAATGTGTACAGCGGAAGGCTACGACGCAGGTGTCGAAACTAATCGAAATTGTTGACAACGCCTTTGGTCACACGGTCTACGCACAGACCCCTCTTAATCTGCACCCCTTCATTCACTTCAAAGCGGACACGAATCGAAGGTCGAATCGAACACGGGTCAACCCTTGACGTTAAAATTTCCCTCACTGATACATTACACCTGGGAAACACGGATTTTTCGTCGAAAATAACAACTCGTACAATTTTTTTTCTTTTTTGTGGAGAAATTTAGCGTTTTTAAATTTTTTTTCTTTAAATTATATATTGTCTGCATTTCAATACTGTGAAAAAAGGTATAGAGTGGATGTTTAATTATAGAGATAGAAAATTTATACGTTATAATAAATATAATCTTGTACGAATAATTTTATACGCTATTTTA